TTATTACCATGACTAATGGGCATTTACACTGTTGTAGGAGTGCACGTATTGGATTTTAAATCACACCTAAAGATATTGCATATTTGTTATCATGTATTATATAGTACATTTATCAGGTGAATATTATGCTTGTGATTCTTAAGTGTGTAGTCAATGAATGATATGCACAGGCTTGATTCTTTGTAATGTGTGAAATTACCAAATAATTGACATTTCAGTTTAGAAATAAACATTTTAAAAGTGAAAATGAAAGTATAACCATCTTTTAAAATATATTATTATCTATAATATTATCTATATAGTTATTATTAAGTTGCTTCTGACTTACTGCAGTCCTATAAATTAATGACCTCCAAAAGGTCCTATCAGTAAAAACCCTGCTTTATCGCCGAATATATTCATGATCAATATATGTTTGAATGCTCAATGCATATAATTTTATTTAGATCACATTTTCAATAAGCTGATTAATTTGATCTGAGCACCTAGGTGATTTTATAATGTAGGAGCATTAGAGTATTAGCAACAAAGGACCGTGTATGCCCTTGAGCAAACTGTGTTTCTTCATATAAGAATAATTGTGTGCTCTTTACAATGTGTCAATCTGCTTCATGAGTGAAATATACATTTCAGGCACATAGACACTGGTTGTTCAGTGCCGGTGTACATTGCAACCCTGGTGGTCCTTTACTTCATTTCAGATGAAATCTTTTTCCTTGCATCCTTTGGAGTGCATAATGTATTAAAGCATTTTTACAAAGTACTTGCAGTTTTGGGAAATGGTAATTCATTTACTCCCAGTATCAAGTTTGAAAATCCGTTGGAGAAACACAACATTGCACAATATGGGACAGGATATTTTCACCTTCCTATCAGAATTATTTTTTGCTTGTGTTTGACCATCGGGTTTCAGCATATTAGTTTATATAGAAGAGAATTAGGCAAATATTATACAAATAGCTTCACCTATTATTACATACAATATTATACATTCCTAAACCTAGAGGATAGCATGAAGTAGGTTAGTGTACAAGGTGGAAATAATGAAAATTCACATATGCTAACAGGAGAAATGTTTTGCCCATTTTAAAGCTGTTTGTAATATACCGTATTTTTCCCTGTATACGACCTCCCAATGTATAAGATGACTCCCTAATTTTGTCCCTTGCCGGAGGCAGAGGACAATCAGTGGGCAGCTGTGAGGGGTGGCCCAGCACAGCTGCTCCTCTGCCTCTGCCTCCTCCTTCTGCTGCTTCTGCCACTTGATCGCCTCCTCCAGTGTGACTGCTAGGGCTTACCTCCAGCTCACCTTATCCCCTGCCCAAAGGGAGCCCGCGAGTGGCGTTGGAGAAGGTGATCTGGCAGCAGCAGTCAATGGGCAGCAGAGAGAGGCAGTTGAGAGTGGCTGTTCCTTTGCCTCCGTGTCCACCCCCTGCTACTGCTGCCTCAGCCACCAGATTGCCTCCTCCAGTGCCACTTGCAGGCTCCCTTCAGGCAGGGGACAAGGTGGCCCCAGCAGTCGCACTGGAGGAGGCAATCAGACTGTAGCAGCGGCAATAGTCAATGTACAGCTGCAAGGGACAGCCGAGTGTGGCTTCACCTCTGCGTCCTCCTGTATATAAAACAACCCTCAATTTTTCCTCTAATGATTTTAGGGGAAAGTGTCATTTTATATACGGAAAAATACAGTAAATTGTTGAGTATCTTGGCCCTCATATATATATTTCTAAAAGTATTAAAATGAAAATTCAGCTTGCTGCTGCTTTTTTCCCCCCAGTTTCAATCGCTTGGACTTGCCACCGTACAAGAGTTACGAACAACTGAAGGAAAAGCTGTTGTTTGCAATTGAAGAAACAGAAGGATTTGGGCAAGAGTAATAAGTGGTGGAAATTTGCATCTGAAGAATGTAGATTCATATATGTGCGTTCTTCACTGCCTCTACTAGTGGCACTTCTTACTGTAAACAAGACTTGACCATGATCTATTTAAACAACTGCTAGTGCATAAGTGAATGGATGTTATGCTGCCATTTTATTCCCACTAATCACCTATTTCTTATAACTCATTTTGGGAAATCTAGAATGATGAAGGCATAAACGAACTCTTCCCTAAGCAGAGGCTTAATATACTTCTGGGGCTCTGTCTTGGCTCATGTTCAGTAACTGGAATGTGTTCTTATTTACTTTTTTTCTAAAATGACTCTGTTTTTCCATTTTAGTAGCAACTTTTTGCTGCTGATGCACTGGGAAGTCCATTGGTAGCTGCAATGCTGCAGCATCCTATTTCAAACAGCGCTTGCTTGCATTCAGACTCCGGGTGCTGTAAACAGATCCATTACTCAAGTTAACATTTTCTTATCCAAATGAGGCCTGACTGTTTCCGCCCTCCCATGCCTTATTCTGAGAAGATCTCAGTTCAGACTGTGGCTGGGCAGAGGATGGGTGGGCATGAAGAGCTAATGCACAGATTCAGAGCATAGCACTTTTATTTATTTATTTATTTTACTTTTCCTCACATTCCTCAGGTTATCCCTACATTTGAATGCACCAAACTCAGAGGAATTTTAGTTTGTTTTCACCTGATGTGTACATTTAATCTAAGTTTTTGCTTTGGGTACAGCAGTAGTAAATTGGAAAAAGTGTGAGGCCTCTTCAGCCAACTACGGCTATAAATCATTGCCAGTCCTATTTGTAGGCTGATGTTTGAGATAGCTGTTAGGCTTAAGTAACAAGTCTAGCTTTCTTGCAGATGGGATATTATGGCTTGTTAGGTTAGGTCCTACGGGTTGTATAAGCATTTTTACCCACCTGCCACTTCACCTTAACAGAAGCTGCAATCCTGTGAATATTTGGAAATAAACTTCACTGAACCCAGTGAACCTTCTCTGTCTGGGGTGAACTCCAAGAATGTGTTAACTCCCTGTGCCACCCAGGATGAGCAGGGATCATGTGGGAGTCAGCTCTGTTCAAGCGTCTTCTTATTTGTACTTGTGCAGCACTTGGTTTTAAATCTGAGTTCAACTTAGTTATTTATTATAATTTCATTATTTCCACTTGAAATATACCCTAGTACTTAAACCACAGTCCAATTTTTAGAACAAAAGCACTTTGATCTTGTGCCCAACTTTGCTGCCTTGTATCCTTTCTCTCCAGGTTGTTATAGTTCTGTGGTGTGCATGCTGCTCTGAACCTCAGTAGGAGAGATAATGGCATTTGAAACAGCAGTAATGCATGTTGATTAATATATACTTACTGTTCTGCTGTGTGAGGGGAGCATAATCCTTTGAAAGCTAGCCAAGACAGTCAGAGATCAAACATACTGGATTCTTGTCATGGTAGCAGATATCATCTGCCCACCCAGACTCCAGGTGTTGGGGGTATTTTAGAGAGATTTAATTCAGGGTGTTGAAAGCAAGTGGTCTCTGCCCTTTTTTTTTAGAACTAAATGCCTTTAGGACTCCTCTGTAAGATAACAGTGAGGTAACATCAATTTTTATTTTTCTTCTATTTATTTTATCTGTTTCACAAAAAGAACTGCATCATAGGTCCTGTGTCTGCTCTGATAAGTAATTTAAAATATAGTCCCAATACAGAAGAGGAAAGAGCTCATGTATATACACATTTCTTTATTTTGAAGCATTTACAACCCATCTTTCCTATTGGGAGATTTAGAAAGCTTTCAATTTTTAAAAAATAACAAAAAATCACAATTTGAAGACATCCTTACAATTGAAAACAAATACAGTTGGACTGCCATATCCATGGGATCAGTACCCGCGGTTTCAGTTATCCATTGCCAGAAAATATTAAATAAAAACCCTAGAAATCTATCTTTCCAAAGTGTATTACCAGAACTGACCACTAGAGGGTACCAGAGACTGCTATATATAGGGGTTTTTATATCTGGATTTTTGCATCCGCGGAGTAGCTTGGAACCAATCCCCCGCAGATACCATGGTACTACTGTGTGTGCGCGCGCGCGCACACACACACACACACAAAATAGGAGAAATAAAAGGAAAAGCAATCAAAAGATTTGCAACATTCAAAAAAGGCAGATATGAATTAAAAACAGGGTAAGTGCAGAGGGAAAGAAGAAAATAGAAAGAACCAAACACATCTGATCTCTTTAGTTAACTTCAAACTTCTGATCTTGTTCTGCTGCTCTCTCTACAATGATAGACAGTCCCACAAGATGCATTTTTTTAAAGGTATTGCCTTATGATTAAAGTTAAAAGAGATTATATTAAACATATATTTGCTGAGGATGACTCTATAAAGCTCTGGTTTAGAAACTCAGATGTTACCTATATATACCTCAGATCATTGATGGTGGTGTGGATGAATTCTGCGGGATAGATTCCATAGATTTCCTGTGACTAACAATTTTTGTCTTTTCCTGCTATGCGGAGGCACTTTTGCATCATGGATGGCCACTTCCAATCAACATTCTTCCTGCTGTAGCTGGATACAGTGTCTATTGAGCTGACACACAGATAATACTTCCTTCTACAATCCAGCTTTGCCTCACTCTTTACAGCTTCACTTAGGGTTTGGTTTTTGTCAGCTTTGTCGCAGGAATGCAGTTTCAGTTTATACTGCAACTGTGCAGCTGTTGTGCCTGTTTGTTGAACAGCATTAGTGCCTGGTTCCCCCCCCCCCGCCAATGTAATGCATTATTTAGCTTTTCACATGCACTTTCAAACCTCTTGTGGGTGATCAATTTGAATTGCTTAAACACATTTAATTGCACTTGTAGGCTTTGGCCTTTGTCAGCTTCTTCCGTCTCATTCAAGCACTTTGAATTCCATGAGCTTTAAGCACAGTGACTGCCATTCACTTATATTGTGTATATCCTTTGTGTAAATTGAAATGTCTGTTTCTGAAATGTCTGTTTCTGCCAGGATGTTACGATTTTCATAAGTTTAACATCTTAGTTGATGTTGGGAAGACTCAAACTCTTTTACCATCTTTTCAGACAGAATGTTCATTTTCTTCAGCGCATTAAAGGTATCTTGCAGCTATTTCTAATAATCTGTGAAGGTATGCCTCAAAGACAAGAATGAAACTTGATTTATCTTTGTCCTTGTGAATCTGCATTCTTCTGGCCTGACACAGGAAATATGTCCAAAAATAACTGTAGCTTTCTCAGTTTTTTCACATGTCTGTTAGAAAGGCCTTTTGTTTCTTGAAGAAGTTAATCTTATAATTCTTTCTACCGGTAATTTATAAATTATATAATTTTTTCTTTTCTTCTGTTTCTACAGTTAGCTGTTTACAGAGATATACTCCCATGTTGAGTTTCTCATGAGGTTTGCAATATTCTCATAGATGTTTTTCATCTCTTTAAATGTAGCTTTGATCATTTCCACATCAGAAAATGGCTCTGCTTGGCTGGCCTTCTCCACTGCAAAGTTCCTTCAAATCTGTAGCTGAATTATTTCAGAATTAAATTTTTATTTTAGCTGGACTACTCTTTCTACTTAAGTATTTTCTTCCAGGTTCTTTTTTAAGTTGACCCTTTTGCTTTGTGTTGAATTCAAGTTCACTAGTCTGCCACATCAGTGCTTCTGAATAGTTACTGTGCTCCATTTCCAGGTTTTGGATTTCCTTCTGGACATTCTGCATTGTGTTGTTGCTTTCCTTCAAAGTGTTGTCCAGTTTAGTCCTCTCCTCCAAAAGGGACTCATATTCACTGTTAATAATCACTGCTAGGTATTTATTAGCTCCCATTTTTATATATCTCTCATAAATTTTCTCTTTCTCATCCTATTGTCTCTTAGCAATATGATAGCTTTTGTCTCATTCAGTTTCTGCTGTTAAGCTCTGATCTTGAAGCTATTTAATTTGTTTGTTCCACCTAATTTTTTAATGCAAACCATTCATTGGCAACTTCTTTCCTCATGATAGCAAGTTCGTACTCCAGAATATGTTGAACAGCCTCCCTTCTGTGTATTCGCGAAGGCTAACAACCATTAACCTCCCTTCTCTCAAATTCTGCTTACAACTTGACAAACCAGCACTCATAGTTTAATACATCTGCATTGTGTTAAACAGTCATATACAGTCTTTCTTTACTTGAAGAAGATCTGTTCCCAAATCTTCCTGTGTTTCTATGTCTGGCTCACTCCCGATTCTGTGAGAATGTCTTTCCAGAATTCCTCACCACCTCACATTAGACAAATGAGATATTGTGATGTAACAGGTTCCAACTGGAAGGAGATGGGGTAACGTCTGTTTTTCTTCAGCTGATACTTGCAAGAATGGTTGAACACTGTTTCCTTTTCCTCTCCTTCAGTCTACATTCAGAGGAAAACATATAGAAGTTTTTCACTTACACAATAAATCTATTACTTCTTTGAATAGAAGGCACTTGTGTTAATTTTGGAGAGAAGGCTGCCTATGGCATCTGTAGAATACCTAATGCATCTATTAAAACATAGCTTACAGAGGAGAAAAAGCCTTAGAAATGTTTTGTTTATTGAGTTTAATAAATTTTAGTTATTATCATTTACAATACAGAAATGAATAAAAATTTGAAGTAACAAGAATAAACTATGGAAAATAGTCTTATGTTCTACATAATGATTTGTGATTCATATAGGGACCTAGGAATATTATTAATGTATAAATATTCAAAAGGCTTTCTGCCCTATATTTTTAAAATAAAAGATAGTTCTAATTGAAATAACTGATGCCCTAGTTCTATAGGGCACAGCAGTTTAATATTTTTATGGCTCAAATGTTTAGTTCCAGAAAAAGTAAATGCTTGTATATATTTTTGCAGTCTGGGGCATAGCTTATTCCGTTTCTTAATTTAAATGGCTTGGTTATTTGTCTTTACTGCTGTATTACAGGAGAAATGGGGGCTGGATATCCCAATCACGAGAAAGTATTTTAAAAAGTCAAAAGTGAGGGTGTTTAACAAATGGAATCAAGACCATGAAGTATTGTTAAAATAGATTTATTGTGGGAATTAATCTAGCAATATTTCAAAAATCAGAATAGAAACT